AAAAACATATCCTTTTTTTTTCTAACCATTCCGAAATCTATCAATTTCATGCTGCTCTGCGAGGCTGGGGTGAAACGTCGCAGCACGCAATGAACTGAAAGTTGATCTGTCAGCACTATCCTTATCTTCAAAGCAGATTTTTTATTCTATTCGGCTTATAATTCTTGACTAAATGTAGTATTTCATCTCGATGTACTCCGTCTTTGATATGATTTAAATCAAATTCCTCATCATTATAAATATCACGAATACACATCAAATAGATTTCTAGTTGCAATTTTCTAATTTCGACTATGCATAATGTATGCTTTACGCATGCACGCATTGAAAGAAATGTTTAATAAAGTAAACAAATAAATATTAAGCTTTTTTTTGTAAATTTTGATACTCTTTAGATCATAATTGCACTTTATTTCATAAATTACGGTTTTCATATTTTTAATTTTATAATTTCTGCATGCCATCTTACCAGATTTAAATTGATGATCTATAATCCGGAAAAACCGATAATACGGAATCGCTGAAGTCCCACTGAGTCCGGATTTTGACTGTGTTGTGTTGACATTTTAATGAACTTAATTGTTAAATAATAGTTTAATTTTTGCTGTACTAAATTCGTTTATTGTGTTGAAAAAACTATTCACTGGTTCTGTAATTTTTCACTTCCAAAACTGTCGGCTTGGAATTCGTTCTCAGAATCCCTTATCTGAGGATTGCTGCACCCTGAAATTCTTTTGCCAAGCGTTTCACCACATGTTCTTATTTGCATAAACGGGACCCTGATTGCTCTGACATTTCTAGCATTAAATTGTTCTGCAGGGAGTTTGGTTACAGGAGAGAAAAGTCGTCGTATAGGTTTTTCGCTAAAGTGGAGTTGCACTCCGGGCGAGGCTAATGCTTCCCATCCCCCTCCCCCGGTCCATTAGCAGAGAGGAGGTTGACCCAGCAGAGTGGCCTTGAAGGCTGCTTTGTTGAACCGCGATAGTTGGCATATTCTGGTAGTCTGGAAACCCCTTCCCATGAAGATTTCTCCGTTTGGATTGCTGTGCTTGGTGTTCTTCTGATCATCATACTTCGCCAATTTTTTCAAGATCTAGTCAGGTACAAAAGTTGCTGCGTGTGGAGACGAGAGACGGAGAAAAGAAATTTTATATAGAAGTTTGAAGAAAAACTAAAGATGACACTTCTACGGTACAGCGTGGAGGGGCAGCAGCTTCTGAGAAGTGGACGGACACTGAATATTGAGACAGTTGCCGAGTCCTGCGACCTCACCGCCTAAATGGCCTGTGAAAAAGGGAGAAGTTTAGAATCATCCTGATGGATCTGCTGTCCGGGACGGAAAATTGGAGCCTGACCTCATCTTTGATGTTTTCCTTTTGTTGATTTCATTTTTGCTTACCCCTTTCTTTTATTTCGACCTAATTAGAATAACTAGAACTAATTACAATGTATTTTCAAGATTCTGTGTGAATAGTTTCATTTTACTCCAGTAAGGTTGTGGGGCCCCCACTTGTAATTGTTTTAAAGGTATGTGATTTTTTCCCCCTTTCTAGCGGTACTTCTGCAAAGTATGTTAACCAGCCAATCTCTTAATAATTTTAATGAATATTGTGATTATCATGACACTATCAGTAATGTAACCTAATCTCATTATCCCCAAAATAAACATTAGTTTGATTTTATTTACTTTGTATTGTATTTAATTTTATTTAATTTTTTACACTGGACCATATACTCTTAAATTACTAGGTTTAATTTTCTATTTATGACACAATGCAACTCCATTTATATTTGTATATTTGTCTTGCTATAATATGTGCTCACATGAATTATTCTTGAAATATGGTTACTGATATTGAACATCTATGTACACTGCTCAACCAATTGACGAAATTCAAATTGCGTTCTTCATGTCTCGAAAGCGTGACTTAGGATATATATTAGATTTATATATAGCTCTACTCTAACATAGCTATTTTGACACAAAATCTGACTTTTCTGAAATAACATACCAATTTTTTCCATATTTCGATTCTACGACTCAAATTATGCCTAAATATTAAATTTTGTAAAATTTGGTGAGAAATTTATGGAGAAATTCAACAATTTATGTTGCCGCTTTTTATTTAGTTGCGCCAAAATTAGTTCACTTGGTGAACTTCTTAATACATGGCCACCTATTTTCATTTCCATTTTTACATACCGCGTGAGAGGAAAAAAAGACCCAATCGTTCCTTCTTTCAAATAATATTCTTTATATTATATTTTTAATTATAATTGTTATTAATTTTAAGCAATTTTTTTCTTTTTCAAATTTCATTTTAATTGTTTAAGTTGCATGGTTTCTTTTGAATAACTTTTTTAAAAAATTATATTTACTCATTCAAACTGTGTAGTTTAAATCAAAGGTGCATCGTTTTATTTTTTTTTCCACGTAGTTTTCTTTATACTATATTTTTAGTCATAGTTACTATTTTAGGTAATTTTTTAATTTTTAGACTTTTATTTTAATTGTTAGTATTGTATTGTCTCTTCAGATAATTATTTTAAAATTTTCTATTTATTCATTCGAACTGATCATTTTAAATATATTTATTAATATAAATTTTCCAGAATTTCATTTTATTTATTTGAATAACGTTTCTTTCGGAAGAATACTTTGTAATCCAAAATACGATGCGTTTGAAAACTGCATATATTAAAAGAGAAAATACAGTAAAACACAATTAACACACCTTTCAATGTTCCGTTCGGAAAAGATATATATAAATAAGAGAGATGTATAATCGACGTGTTAACTTAGGATGACTTGCATACACTGCTTTAAACAGTTTTATCATTGTGCCTATTGCTTTACACAATTTTATCCTACATTTGGTTTCTTAAAATGTTATTCATATTTTAGTCAAATATTTTATTTTCGAAATTGCAAGAATCAAATATCGTAAGATTAAAACGTTTTAAATTTTAAAAAAATACAAATACTAAATTTTACGCAAAAATTTATTTTTTCTTCTCTTTTTCTTCAGGCATTCTGCTTCATTCTTGCTCTTTTTCTTTAGGCACTCTGCAAGTATATTAAAAAGCATCCAACTTTTCGAAACATCTTGGTATTTTTGACAATCATTTTAAATAAAGTTATTGTCTTCCATTTCATAAAGGCTCACAAACGGCCAAGCGGTAAAGTCGCTGAACACTCCGGGGTTGGAACAACAAGTCACTCCGGGGTTGGAATCCCGGTAAACGGGCTGATTGCATGGGCGTTTTCGTGGATTTTCTCATGTGTAACGTGTATGCCAGCTGGTTTCACTTAGAAAGTTCTTCACGAAGGCATCCTTCTTTTAAGCAGATAGCCCTGCTTTGCCGTAACTTAATAATTCAATTCAATCCATTTCATCAGTATTTGGTCAGAGCCTTTATCAGTCTTTAAAGGCTAAGCATTTTGAAGGTATGAGATGAAAGGAAAGACTGGTTTCATCAAGAGATTTTAGTTTATTTAATTATGACAAAGCACACTAGGCTATCTGCCTAAGGGGGTGATGCCTTCGTGGAGGACTTTATAAGGAAAACTGGCTCATACACACGTTACACATGGAAAAGCCACGAAAACGCCCATGCAGCCAGCCCGTTCAGGGGATTCGAACCTCAGACCGAACTACCAGTGTTCAGCGACTTTACCGCTCGGCTGCTGTTTCATTAGGAGAAAAAAAAAAAAAAAAAAAAACGTCTTTAGGTGGCATCCATATACATCACTGGATAAACTCCTGTATCTTTAAATAATTCGACTGAGAAATCATGGGATTCTCCGTTTATGATATGATATGATGTTCTATAGCATACTTTAAATTTATACAACCATATAGTCTAAAACCAGTCGCTCTTCACTTTAATCTGCAATGATATCGTACTTGTCTTTTCTGTTAACCCCATAAGCTCAATTGATGGTATTTGCTGGTGTACACGTCCAAGTGTTTTCTCTTTGAACACCTAAATTCTTTGAAGTATTCCTGAAAGTATATTAAAAAATCGTTCCAACTTTTTTGAAACATCTTGGTATGTCTGACAGCCAAATTTTCCCTTCAAATTTTTGCTTACTTTTCTCCACAATTTTCTTCTTTCCTTCTACAGTTATTTTCAGTGCTCACACAAGAAAATTAAGATTTTTCGATTGCTAGACTTCCATACATTTTGCATTCTCCTCAATTTTTTTAAAATATTAATTGCATCAACTGCGTTTCAACTGAAGACAGCTTTTCATTTTCTAGACATTTTAACTATAAACAAAGTATAGAGCAAAGTCCAAAGGATAAATATTTTAATTAAAAGATTTTTTACTAAATGGCAAAGAAATAAAACAGCTGAGCAGTGTTTATTCCCAGTGATAACTCTTCTCTGAGATGAAGCCCAAATCATTGAATTCTCTGAAGTTTAAAAAAAACACTTTCCCTTCTTGTTCTATTTCCAGAGCATCCAAGTAATATTTTAGAGCATTTTTGGCACCTCAACCTGAAAAGGACCTCTATTTTTAATTTGGTTACATTCCTGGAAATGGATTTTTTTATTTGGCTTCATTTCTGAAACCAGATTTTTTTATGTTTTATAATCTGGCCCAGAAAATACTCTTCTTAGCAAAATAAGTCGAATATCTGATATATATGAATAACATACTCTAAGCATGCATAAGAAGCAGTTTCACATCCCTAAATTCATATTCAATTGAAAAGTATAAACATGTGTTAAAGTTTTCTAGTCTAGTTCTATTTTCAAACAAATTTGTTTACGGTCAGTTCCATTTGGCTTTACGCATTATCTTCTTATTTTGAACACCAGAACACAATGAAGTGTGATATATATATGATGAATAATAAATGATATATATAATGATGAATAATGTACATATATTATTCTTTCTCCGAAATGTATCTCATACAACTAATGATAAATTTCATCTTGTTGACTGAATTATTACTTTAAAAAGTAAGTCATATCAGAAAACTCACCTTTAGTTTCCAAACCAACTACTGCTCATTGCAGTAACTCTGTCATAAAACGATGTTGATTTCATAGGGTTAGTTGGTATATCAGAAGCACTTAGGTTAGGACTAGAACTATGGGACTGAAGAGGCTTTTTATCTGTTTCCTGCATGCATTTTAAACAAACATATTGATAGAAATATTCATAAAAAATGTTAGCAGTAATTAGGATTAATTTATAGCAATTATACATGTGCATTTAACACATATCAAATGCAAATCACATAGTCATCAGTATACCAAAATTAAACTAAAATAATTCATGCATAAAAATGTAACGAAGTAATGTAAGCAGGTCAAAAAAGCACATCCTTAACCAACAAACATGCAAACTGTGTTATCAAACATACACGCATATATGAGGATGCTTCCAGTAATTTTTAATTTTTTCGATACTTCCTGATTATCTGCATGCCCAAGAAGAAAAGTACTGCTGACTTTGTGAACTGGAGAAAAGTGTTTACTTGGTTACCTTTACAGCTCATAGGTAGAATTTTGTTCATAAATAGTAATAAACAGAACTTTATGAGAAATAACAAAAGTCTATATGACCAATATTTACATCTTTACAACCAATGTATGCTGTTAAACAAAATGATGGCTTATATATTTATGGCTTATATATTAAGCATGTAATTCCATGTGCACTCATGCACATGTATTATATACACATGCAGGAACAAGTTGTTGCTGTGTGTACAGTTTAAGATGTGCCAAAACACAGCTATTCTATCACATTTTAAAACCGAGCAGATAATCAGAAAGTACTCTTCTTTTTTTTTTTTTTTTTTTTTTTTTTTTTTTTAATAATCTAACATTTTTCTTATTTATTGCAAATCACTAACATGTAATGCTTTGGCTTTAACATAAATTCATAAAAGTGGCTTCAGAACTTACTAAAAGATAATTTTATTCTTATACTGAAACCTACTTTTTTATAATATATTTTTCACACCATTTTAAATGAAGGTTTATGAAAGGTAATTATAGCAAAACGCTCAAAGGATATCTTAGAAGAAAAGTCTCCAATGAGAATTTTTTAATGGAAACTAGCTACACATGAGGAAAATAACAAGCTGCATACAACTAGTGCATCAGATGTGCAACTACCACAGTTAAGTGATCTTATTCATTTTCCTAATGGTATGCGGTGTAAGCCCATAGTTGCATAAAACAATATTCAAATTATAATTAATGACAATGCTCTCATCAACCACAATTTACAGACCAAAGTTACAAAAATTATTAAGTTTGCCCCTGGTTCTATTCCTAGAGTGAATTGGCTTATGACATATTTGTCATTTTTTGCAAGCACAATTTAAATATGGCCAATTTAATTTCTTTCATAAACACAAAGGCCTAGTATCCTTTGCCATAATCAACTAATTCATTGCAATTAGTAATTTTTAACCTATCAGTTATTAGAAAAATTTATTAATATTTTCATATAATAAAACATTCAAAAATAATTATAATTTTAAATCCATTTTATCTCAAAGAAAAAGAAATAATTTTTTTTTTTTTTTTTTTTTTTTTTTTTTTTTTTTTTAAATTACAATTACAAAAAATATCTCAGTTGCAAAAGTTAATTGACAAGGTTATGGCAAATACTATTTAAAGCAGGAAAATAGATGTAGTATTTACTTTGTACAGAATATAGATACTAAACTGATCAATGTTGACTAGCATACAAGCGAAAATAAATATTCTTAAAATCGTTTTAAATAAAACTGTATTAATATTGGCAAATCGTAAATAAATGTACCAAACTTTATATACTAAAAATTTTAATTTTATGTGTGTTAAATTATTAAACTAAAAAAAATGCAACAAAATTAATGCTTTTTATGGGAAAAAATATTATTTATAAAATCAACATTTTGCTCTTTTTAAATTTTTAAATATAATCTAGAATAATTATTTGAATTTAATAATTACAAGATCAACATACCTTAGTTTGAACCTGGAAATCATCCTGAGGCCCTTGAACCATAATATTTGTTCGGGATGACAGAGGGAGTATTGGAAATCTCCTAATATTATTAGATGATGGAATTATGTTGTGCTCCATCTGGCTGCTGACTGAATGTGCTTTAATACTGTTCAAATAACTAACTTGATCTGGAGATGCAATTAGTCCAAAAAGAGACTAAAAAGTAAATAATTTAAATTTAGATAAAACTGGAAAATTTTAATTTGTATAAGTATTTTGGAAAATTTTAATTTGTGTAAGTCTAGTATTAACTACAAAGAATAAATATACACTTATAATATATATCATACCTTCTTCTGCTCTTATAATATTTAATTTACACATTTATTTTTTAATTCACACTGCCTTAGAATACAATTTAATATTTCAAACACCATACTTTCTTTATTTTCTATTCTTCCACCAATAATGATAGTTATGCATTCCTCATAAATTGGAGGGGGGGATTTTCTTTTTGGGGGGAAGGGTTGCTAAGGAAAGAAAATTTACTGAATTAAGGTAGATAAATTAATTTTAGGACTTAAATAATTTGTTTTAACCAGAACAGATCTTCTTCCAGTAGAATATAAGTTATGCATTGCTATCATTTATATATACAGTCAAAAGTCTTTAATCCGGACTTGTCGGGACTTCGGCGATTCCGGATTATTGATTTTTCCGGATTATAGATCATCATTTTAAATCTGGTAAGATGGCATGCAGAAATTATAAAATTAAAATATGAAACCGTAATTTATGAAATAAAGAGCAATCATGATCTAAAGGGTATCAAAATTTACAAAAAAAAAAAAAGCTTAATATTTATTTGTTTACTTTATTAAACATTTCTTTCAAAGCACGTATGCGTAAAGCATACATTACGCATACTAGAAATTAGAAAATTGCAACCAGAAAACTATTTGATTTGTATTCGTGATATTTATAATGACAAGAAATTTGATTTTAAATCATATCAAAGACGGAGTACATCGAGATGAAATACTACATTATAAGCCGAATAAAATAAAAACATCTGCCCTGAAGATAAGGATAATAGTGCTGACAGATCAACTTCCAGTTCATTGCGCGCTGTGAAGTCCCCCCCCCCCTGCGCGCAGAGCAGCGTGAAATTGATAAACAGATTTTGGAATGGTTAGAGAAACAAAGGAGCTTTTATCCATTTTTTCCAGCAGTTCCACTTTTTGTTTGATGGACATCGAAACATGCTTTTCCCTTTGTAAATTCCTTTGGCAGCTCCAGCATCGGAAATTCTATTTGACATAATCGAAAGTTCCACTTTCTTTTATAAAATTGCTCTAACAGTCTGCAAAAAATAATAAGCCGGTTCCAATTCGAAGATTAAGAAACAACGCAATCTGCAACATTAACAGAAATATATAATTAGATAATTTTAGCTTAGCTTATACCGTCAGTTATACATTAAACGCGCATGCGTAAATGTATTATGCGCATGCATAAAGGTATTACATGCATGCACAGAAAAATTGTAGCTTTGAGGTCTGGATTATAGATCATTCCGAATTATGGGTGTCCGGATTAACGACTTTTTACTGTATATATTAATTTATGCATATGGTAGAAGAAACTGATTGTAATTGGTTGAAACTCATAGGAAATATTAGTAGAATATTTAAGTAATAAAGTATTTTAAATGTTACATTAACCAGATATATTTACTGACTTGTTAAATGAATGAAATCTAGAAAAAAAAAATCAATCACTCAAACTGTGTGCCAATAATAATCAAATAAATTAGCCACTGAACTACACTTGATTCAACAAACAAAACTCGTCTTACATACTTGAGATATAATTTCATGTTACTCTCATCCAACTCAAAATTTAAACAACGGAAACCAAGTCTAAAAATACCACCGTTAGTGTTTGTACAGCCCCTCCTGCTACCTAGCCATGCAGTTTAGCCACATCCTCCATATTTAGAAATGGCTCTAAATAATTAAGTGATTTAATGTTTTAAGAAATCCATCATTAGCAGTGATTTCAAGGTCACTGAATTTCGGCATTTAGGCAAAAGTGATTTCAACTGCCTGTTCAAAGCGATATTAATCTACCGCATAAAATCACACACACACACATATATGTGTATATATTATATATTATAAATAATTGAAAAAGAAAATGTAAAGCTAATTGATAATTAGACGTAAGACCCATCTGGTCTCAAAAACTTTTGCGCATAATGCTGGAAAAAGATTTGAAAGAATAGTAGTAGGAAAGAACATTGCAGCGAACTTGCTAAAAAGTTACCAGGAGCTGTAGCTCCACGAAATATTGTAACACAGTACTACATAAATAATAAGAAATTTGTCTGGAATAACTGGAAAAAACTGTAAACATGCGATAAAACTGCCAAATTTAGTGCTGGAAGACTTGCTAATGCACGAAAAAAATTAATGAATCTGATCGTTGTGAAATGTGAAAAGTTAACTCACATGAAAAATAGATCGATGGAAAAAAATATATATAAGGAAGGTACAAAAAACATATATTATAAAATGTCAATATATAAAATGCCTATACATAAAAATTAAAATTAAAATTAAAAATTGCCAATATATAAAATATGCCTTATATATATATATATATATATATATATATATATATATATATATATATATATTAATATATATATTATATATTATATATATTATAATATTTAATATTTAAATTTATTACTTTATTATTGCTTTGATCTGTAAGTTTAACTACACAAAGAGAATAAATTTATTCAATCTTGCTTCTTCATATCACCGTACTCTTCCAAAAATATATTTAAAAATAAATTTTTAACAATAAAAAATAAAAAGCATTCCCCTCTGACTTTTATCTATAATACAGCTTGATAATTATTTTCTTTTAATATAAGTATGTGATATTACAATTACTTCAGTCCTATAGAACTGAGAAACATACTAAGGACATTAAAATTTACATGAGAATTATTTTAAGTTGTATGAGAAAATTAATTTTATTTTGCTGTTTTGAAAAAAAAAAAAAAAAAAATACTGTTGATGGAATGAAAGCTTAATAAATCAATATTTTCTTTAAAAGCATTTATAAATTTTATGAGTATTATGCATTTAAAAATTTGTGAGTAGCCTTAATTTCATTATTTTGCTAAAAATTGTATATTTAAATTTTTTCATTACTGTAAAGTAAATAATTTAACAGTAAATTCTTGTAATTTTGAATTAAATATATAATGATGTATTTCTTACTATATTAAATTTTAAAAAGTTGCACTATTTTTATATCAGACTTAAATGTTTTATATTAGAAATTTGAATTTTAATGATCTGATTTCATAAAGTATAGAATTTTCAGATTTTTGAATTATTTTAATTTGAAAATTTATTAAAAATTATTGCAATAAATTGGAAATTTGGGTTATTGTTAAAAAATTTTGAATTTTTACGAGTTTTAAAAAGCCTTCTCTGAGCAAATATGATTACGCAGATTATAAATTTAACTATGACAAATGACTCTAAATTTGTTTTTCTCTCAATCTGGCTTCTATTTTATCTAAAAGTCTTTTTTTAATTATTATTATGGAGTAATATAAAATTATTTGTAAGACAATAGTACACAAGTTATTAGTCTTAATTTGAACGTGACTTTTGTGTACTTATGTGAAAAATGATCTGGCATAAAGCATTAGTAATAACTTTGAACTTTTTTAGTCACACAATGGTAAAAGCCAGTTACCTTGTATAAGTAATGAAGGTTTTTATTTGCCATTGTATTTAAAGCATACCACAGCCATCAGCAAGTAGTTACACTTTCTTTGTAAGGACCTGCACTATTTTATCAAAGTTATTTTGTTATTGTAATGTATTTTGCTACTATTTTATGCTATTAATTCCACATTGCTTTACAATAGAAAAATGTGGATAGTTTTTTATAAGGCATATATAATTAATTTTAATAAAATTTTATTAATATGTAAAAGAAAGTTTTTAATTTTATATTGACAGTTTTTCAAAAGTCTTTAAAGTCAAGGACTGTAGAAATTATATTATGATAATTGAGGAAGGATTTTCAAGAACTGTGAACTTTTATGATTGTTTTTCAAAAAATTTAGGATTTTAGGAAATTTAGGAAACACTTTTTATAACACTGACAAAAAACAAGCTTGCAAACTTTTCAAATAGAATTGAAAATTTCAAAAGAATTCTAAAATTTGCATTCACTGGTCAAAAATTTTATATTCAAAATTTAGATAAAATTTTTATGATTTTCCCAGAATTATATTCATCTTGGTTTGCTCGCTTTTGCTAAAAAGTGAGCAAAACAAGACAAATATAATTTTGCTAACTTTGGCTAAACTAACTAAACTTTCGCTAATGCTTTTTCTAAAAAAGGCTAGCTATGTTCTCTTTAAAGTGTATGGGGAGAGATGTGAACTAAAATAACCAGTGACTCAAAATTACGACTTAAATTAGTAACAGCCCTTAATTCCTCATTTTAAATTGTGTATCTCCCCTTTCTGTTCTAAATTGCTTATAATAATTTTTCTGAACTGTGTCTCTCCAATTCAAGCTTGCTTATTCTTCTGCATAGCGGATGCTTTAATTCAAATATAGGCAAACTTTTTCAGTCATGGGCCAAAAATCGAAAACAAAATGTTTGGCGGGCCAAGATAAATTTTTCTAAAATTTTAAAAACAATATACAAGTATTACAATTTAAATATGTTAATGACACGAATGAAATTGCGATTTCATTTTTAAAAGTTCCTTATATTGAGTTTCGAAGTGAGATGTACTGATTCTAAAGAATGAGGCAAAATGCTCATCTGGTCAGTCTACTTCTGATATAATTCTTTCTAAGGTTCATAGTTTAAGACACTTATTCACATATATAAGATGAAGCAAACATAGCACTGATTTTCTGAGCATGAGATATTAAATTTGGGAAGCTTACTTTCGATAATGATTTATAAAACTCTAACTCTGGCATATTTAGAAAAACTGCTTGAGACGATTGTTAAATTGGAACTCATTTAATTCAAGCAACAAATCTGACCTCATTGCTTCACAATTTACATTGAAAGGCATGGTAAAATTATCCAATTCTGTTTTAACGGCACTGCAATCTTTGTTTGAAATCAAAATGCAGTTTTTTTCATGCCATCTT